ATAAACTACATCAACAATATTTGCTCTACATTTCTGATGATGACTCAAAAAACATTGTATCTACCCATATCTTTGAAATCCATGCCAAAATGTAGAAAAGAAACAAAATGATGATAAGCTCTACGGCCTATGCTTACCTTGAATATTTGATTTAAAAATATATCATGCTCGTGTTTAAAGACGCCGTATTATGTATAAATCGATGCAGAATTCTAATCTCTTAACAAAACACTTTTAGAAAGCGTTATTGCAGGGTTAGTGGTTTCTTTTAATGCTCGTTCGAATGGCATATAAAATAAAATTTTGTCTCCGGACGCCCATTACTCTATTAAGTTTTGTCTCTATTTCAGCGACAACTACCAGTGGTGTTTTATCATCGGTACAAAGTACGACAAGTGCAAGTGGATCTTCTACGGCAGGTAATAATAAAGACTTGATATTTCTTTAATAAAGTAAAATTCTTCATCTATCAATTGGTAAGATGAACAAATTTTGATTGCCCTATATACCATACTACTTATAGCGGAGACCTCATAATGACGTGAAACAATTGATGACCATTTTGTCATAATCTTGGATATGTTGTTTCTAAGAACACTTTGGTTGATAATGATGATGTCGTTGGACCAGAGCATAAAGAAAAGATATCTGATTATGTTCTTCTTCTGTGGATGTAAATTTAAACCCTGAATAGATTTTACTGCCAAGAAACAGAACAAGTGTATAATGCTTCAAACATCAGCAGATTCAAAGGACATGGAGATAGCGATCCTCAGTCACAGTCATATTCACAAGCTAACACCACGATCATTCACACAAACACCACTGCACAAAATTTGAGACAATCAAAAATGCAAAGGAGAAAACCGAAAAGACATGGATTTTCTGACAATAGTGAGAAAGAGGGGTACACCATTAATCTGACGTTAGATGAACGGTCTGACACAGAATCGGCTCTGAAATACATGTAAACGCGACTCATCATCAAATAATATGGAAAAAACTGGATAATTATTTCCAGGGACCATGAACCCTATCATCTATAGAGACCTGCACGGTTTAAGAAAACGTAACCCGACCCTCACCGACAACAACTTAACCCGAACCCGACTAAATTTTTACTCTTTTGTTTCATTCTTAAGTTTATGTCTTTTTATTTACCTATTTGCTTAGTGGAGGGCATCGCATTTCAAGCGAATGACCTTTTGCTATTAGTCTGCTAATATTCCAGAAAATTTGAGCATTATATCTTTCTAAATTCTCAATATCACCTCTAATAGAAGAGAAATGTTAGCATTGAAAATTGGGTGGTTTGGAAAAACATTGTTTTCCTTCAAGAAGAAAAGTTCAATGACAACCGAATTTAGGAAGATATAACGCTCAAATTTTCTGTACTACATACTAGCAGACTATTAGCGAAGGTACAAAAGAAAATTTCACTTCTTAATCCTTTGTTCTGACTGGGTTACAGAAGTATTACTGGTACTACACACAGTGTTCCTTTAGAACAAAAAAATTCATAACCTTTGAACGAACTGATATGGGGCCTCCTTTGACGGCTTTTATCAGCTCATTTTCCTCTATTAACTGGCATACTATCATTAAAAACGCAGTTGGGCATCTGAAAATCTTGCGTTGTTAGTAAGCTTAAAACGAAACGAACAGTCAGAGTGAATGATATAGGGTTAGAATAGCACAGAGAGCGATCTCCATCTACACTACAATGTGCTATTCTTTTCACTCTCTGTCTAATATCTAAAATTTAGTGAATCATTCATGTGTTTCAATTTACTTTCTTTTAGAAATAGTTTATCTGCCTTGTTCGCTTATTCTGTGCTAAATTAAACAATTCTTTTTGTTTTTACTCTGTCTTGAAAATGAACATCAATTGTTTAAAACGTCGACTATTTTAATTTTTAATAACTTACTATATTGAGATTTCTAGCTGCTGTTAAAGTAACCATATCCGCACTGAAGCTTCGTCCTATGCTGAATAACCAAAATTCTTGTCAACTGTAGAGTCAAAAGATTAATTTTGTTTACTATACTGTGACATAGTCAATATTTCCTGAAATTGTTATCGAGAATCAACTTGAACTTCTCAGACTAAATTTCTGGAAAGAAGACGAGCCTTACATTGTGGTTCACATTAATGAATAAACTGAGAAGTTTTCGTTCAGGTAGCTCAAGTACAAGTGGAACGTCATTGTCTTCGACAGGAACAGGTAAATGTTTGTTAGTTATGTTTCTTGTTATTCTGAAGTTTGATCCTGAGTTCCACATTTAACCAAAACTGTGAGAAAATGGAACTGGCTTAGTCTTAACAATCGCGCTTGACAAACGATGTTAAATTTAATGGTATAATTAAGAATTTTCGATAAGAAATCATGTTCATCAGCTGAGCGAAACTATTAGTAGGGTATCATTCTGATGCAGCAGGTTAGATCTGTACACTGTGAATAAAGAGGTATATATTCTAAACATAATGCAACTGAAACCGGGAATGTTTAGACAACCCATCTTCTTTGCACTCTACCATGCGAATCAGTCATATTTTGTATGCATATTGTAAGGCAACTGTGTATTTTACCATTGAGTTACTATATCCTCTGTTTCCATTTTAGTTACAACCATTAGTGGAGTCTCTGTGTCGAGTACAAGTGCAATGCCAGGCAAGTTTAACAAGAGATGTAAAAGGCTCTCTTTACTTGTGTTTCAGTGATAGTTTGTATTATTAGTTTGTAGTAATAGTAAAACTTGATTTTAAAGTTCCATACGCTTCTTATGATTTAAGAGACACTTCGCCATAGCACTGATCATGCCGTCCGGTGACAAAATCTCATTTTACTTATTCATATGCCATTCGAAAGAGCATTGAAAGAAACCACTAACCTTGCAATAACTCTTCCTCAAAGTGTTTTGTTAAGAGATTAGAGAGAAAACACTCTGCTAGTCCAGCTAACGGCCTCCATTTTTTGCTCTTTTTCAAAAAGTTATTGCAATAAAGCTACAAACTAATCTAAAATGGGAACTAGATAATTCAGTAGATTAAATGTTTCTCCACAAAATGAAAGTGTCTCGGCTGTGAACGTTGATTCGTTATGCAAATACAGCTCCTATATAAACAGCCAAAAAATCGATTTTAGGGCTATCTGGAAAGTGTGTCTGAACAAGTGAAGTCGAGCTGACAAAAATTGAATAAGTATACCAGCTTTGTAGAAAATTGTTTGCTCTACAAGATGTGATAGCTTGTCAAGTTCGGAACTATTCTAATTAATCTGTATTAACCAAAGCAAAAACATGACACTGTGACACATTTGACCGTTTTCTGTCACAGCGTCACAGTTTCTCTGGTTTTTCTTTGATTAATACAGATTGATTAGAATAGTTTCGAACTTGAGAAGCTATTTGTACAACAGCTGTATTTTTATAACAGATCCACGTTCAGAGAAGAGACACTTTTCATTTTGTAGAGAAATGTTTAATCTACTTAATTGTGTAATTGCCATTTTAGATTAGTTTGTAGCTTTCATATGGAGTCGAAATAGATTTGGCTGGAGTATTTTTGTAGACGAGTTGCAGAAAAATCTTTTTTGCAAGTTACTTATAAGCATAACGCACATGACTAATTCGAAAATATCTCTGCTCAGGTCTTTCCCGTTACCGAGATAAGAGACATTATTTCCTAAAAACTAACTCTTAATTATTCCTCCGAAGGCAAGATTTTTTGGTGAAATTGATTACTTAGACAGCTGTAACTTTGCACTTAAATTCTCGGGCAGTTGTAATTTTTGAAAAACGTCTTCTATGGATGCGGAGAGCGCGCAAAGTTTCCAAATTTTGGACTTTTTCCATTCTCAACCATGTCGCAACTTCTGATTTTTTCACGATTTCTATCAGTGGAAAGTAAGTAAGCAAGTTCGCACCTGGCAACATGTCTCTATACTGTACTCGAGCTACTTATGGTTATTTTATTCAAAAAGGTATGTTTATAAGTAGCCTGCAGAAAAGGTAGTTATTTTACGAATAATGCCTCCTACTTCGGTAACGAAAAAGACCTGAGCAGAGATATTTTCGAATTAGTCATGTCCTTATGCTTATAAGTAACTTGCAGAAAAGATTTTTCTTCAAGTCGTCTGTAAAAAAGTTCCAGCCAAATCTATTTCGACTCGATATGTTATTGGAATATCTTCTTGAAAAATCGCCGATGCACCGAAAAGACGTGAATTGTCACAACTTTTCGCACGTTTTGATTTTCTCAGAAACAATCAACCTTCTATTAATCGTTCATGTCTTGTTTGTAAGAGGGATGTTTACTCAATACGATCATGTGTTTGTGTTTGAAAATAAACGTCATAATTTGTTAAGAAAGCGTATGGATTCCCATTTTATGCAGGCATGATGTTTCATAAGAAACCTGGAATGTTTAGCCGCATTACATGGATAGATAGCCGGAAGTATTCTCTTTAAAACTGCCGTTATAGTTCAGGGTTGAGGCGATAACTCTGTTAAGTTTTATCTCTGTTTCAGGGACAACTGGCAGTGGTGTTTTATCGTCGGGACAAAGTACGACAAGTGCAAGTGGATCTTCCACAGCAGGTAATAATAAAGAATTGGTTTAAGCTGCGTTTAGTTTAATCAGTTCGTGCCAAATAAGTATGAGCTCAGTTCGTTTTGGGAATGATCGCGCAAGAAAGATCAGAATGCCGTTCAAAAGCAATTTTAGTTTGTGATGAAGGAACCAGCTAGTCAGATTACTGTTGATTTTACTCCTGATTGTTGGAACGCATTGTTTTAGGAATAACAACAAGTGGAGCGTCACTCTCGACGTTCTCCGTAGGGTTAAGTGCAAGTGGAAGTTCGGGAGCAACTTCTACGATTGGAATAACTACAAGTGGGGGCTTGACGGTCATGTTTTTAACAGATACCAGTTCTTTCCAATAAATCTTTCCATTTTCTTGTAGTTGCAACTACAAATAGTGGCTCTGTGACGTCAACAGCTAGCATGGGTAAGGAACCAATTTAGTTTAAGAAAATTGTGTTTTTCAGAAAAAAAACTCGCGATTATTAAGCAAAAGCATCATACAACTTTTCGTTTCAGAGTCGACTTCAATTAACAATACACCTACGAGTGGTTAGAATACTTACCAACTGATCTTCACTAAATATTCTTCGTTTCCGTATGTTTTAGTCAGTAGTTCGGTAATTATTGGTGCGAGTGTTGCTGGTGGCATTGGATTGATTTCATCGGCAATTGGTGTTTTTTATTACCTGAAATTTGTTCGTTCATCTCCATTAACAAATCTTGTTGAAAAGAGCGTTGGGATCGTTAAATCGCGTGTTGAAACAACAGACATTGAAGCAATGGAAGGAAAAGCAGACAGTCAACCCACTGAAATCGTCAATAATAACAATACTAGTACGAACAACCAACCGAGACATCGTACAAGTATTCATACACAAGCATCAGAGAATAATAAATCAAATATAAAAGCTGTTAGAAAACCAGAAAGTAATATAGCAGATATAATAAAATTCTTAGAATGAACTACAGTTATAAGAAACAATAGCGGTTTTCTGCACTGCATTCACGTTAGAACTTTGTTGAATCTTTCTTCTGATTATGTTTTTATTTGTTTATGACATTCAAATAAAAAGATACCTTTAAACATCATACAGGGTTCTGGTATCATACGATTCGAGTTACTGAGATAAAATATTTTCATAAATTCAACTTTCGGTTACCATGCACTCTAAATATTTTCGTTGGAAATTCAAGATCGTCAGAGACCCATATTTATAATCATTTTCGAAAGTGACAATTCGAGCGGCATCAGTTATATTTGTTAATTATATTTTGCCTTTCAATACTGATATTTTTCATATTTGGCGTAGCACAGACATTCTGTTTTCCTTCCTATTATATGTTAATAAAGTTGATTTTGTCTTTCGTCTATTAAAGCGCATGCATGACGTTTTTGATTCAGCAATACTCATGCATCCTATCTTGTAGGAGTTTAAGAGATGATTTGTGAACCTATAGACATACGTGAAAAAAGGCATAGTCAACATTTATTTTACAATACAACTGTGCCAGTCTGATTCTCTGTTTGAACAGATCTAAACATCCTCATCCTAGTCGCTTTTGGTTGGTTAATTATGGGTTTTTTAGAAAATTATTTTTCTTGAAAATCCGTATATTCTCTCATTCTGATATTTGAGCGTCTCGACGTTCATTATTTGAATGAATTATATATATATTTGTTAACAATAGTTTTCAGGAAGAATAGCAGTGATAAACTTTCTCAACATAAAACGCTCAGTAGTTCAACAATAGCTGTCTTTGAAAAACAAAAAACTGCTGGAGTGTTGAGTATTCTAATTCAAAATCGAACAACAAATAGCATGTGAAGTTTCTTTGCATTCGTTGACGATGTTCAGGAATGTAAAGTTAAGAAAACGTTTCTAAACGTGAAAGGGTTCTATTGTATTATTGAATAGCGGCATTTATAAAGGGAAAATGGTCATGTATTGACAGTGATTGTCAGATTATACTGATTAGCTCGTCTCTTTGCACATACATGACCTTTCGAAATTTTAAACACATTTTGAGTTTACTGTTGTAATCTAGGGACATTCATGTTGCATTTTCTTGCTGTTCTGATTTATGCCTCTGTTAATTCACATAAAAAAGCACAAAATATCAATGATAAGAGAATGACTCCCGGTTTCGACACTGTCAATTGTGGTTCTAAGATTCCAACATTACACAGTAAATTATGTTTGTTGGATATGGCACGTACAAATAATACTAAATATTGATCTCGTCCGTTTAATCATCGTTGAATTATTCTATACCTGATTGATATTTAGCAACAAAAATCCATAATTCGTTATCGTGTCATCATGATTACATCCATTGAATCCAGTAAATTCAAGACTTTTCTGCAATTATCAGTCAATATTTTGTTTATTGTCCTGCAGCGGGCTCATTACTGAATGAATGGCCACAGTGGAAAAGTTTGAATGATTTTCGGCAATGAGTTTTCAGCAAATAAACCTGTTTTTATAGTTGGTAGAATAACAAACAAAACCTGTTATTAGACGCGTTTTTGACTGTTATTAGCAGAGATAGAGAGTGATACGAGAACAAGTGCCTTGACTTAAGACTCCTTGAACTCAACTTATAACTTTAATTTTTACTGTCAAATGTTTTTCGTATAGAAAACGCCTCAGCTCTTTCGCCCTCTTGCTTTTTGAAAAGCTTCCAAAAATAGTGAAAACCAAAAGTGAACGAAAATAAACAGTTTTTCTTCCGACGACAGTTTTTGGCTGTACCATACTTCCTAAACGTAATAATTCATAGCTTGTTTTTAATGCATTTGTAAAAGACTTTTGATATTTTTGTTTATTTCAGATGTTGCCAAACTAAGTTCACGTACATTTGTTAAAGTGACAATTTCAGAATTAATATCATTAGGTTCACTTAATTTCACTAATTGTGCGGGAGCTGCTCGTTTTGGTTTTAGAACAGATATATTTTCTTGGTCACTGGCTATACTTGATTCTTTGATATTCGTAACGCTCAGTTCAACCGATGCTCATTGTCAGAAAAAAATTTATTTATTTTCTCCGTTGGTGCATATGGGGAAAACACTATCAAGTGAGTGAACAGTGCAGAAAAATCTGGCAAATACTACTCTAAGTCAAAACCTGCGTTTCATGTCTCTCTCGTAAGCTATAATTCGAAAATTCGGAATAAAACTGATTTTAGCCAACATAAGTCTATGCTAATTTTCCAGAAAATTAGAAAAAACATTTTGTCACATTCAGTCTCTATTCATATATGATCAGGATACCTTGATTTTATAAAAAAAGGTTCATTTTTCTGCCGAAAACAGGATTTTTTTATCATTTTCAATAAATTTGCGACACGACCCTTCGATTTTAGGTGAAAACCGCAATGTTTTAATTGAAATTCAATATCTCAAGAAAGAAAAAGAATTTCGGAAAAAAGATACTGGGGGTTGTGCTCCGCAATGTGGCAGTTCGAGTGGCGTCAACTTCAAGGTTCCATCTTTCAAGGAAAAAAAGGAGATAAGTTTTTCCGGCGAAGATCCTTTTTTTGGCGGCCGCTTGGAATGAATTTTCTGCACCGGCTACGTAATACGTGGAGAACTTTGAAAATACATTTCCTAATTCAGTTTCTAATGCTGAATCCGAAAAAGAATGTTTGGAAGCTTCAAAATACAAGGAGAAAAAATATTCAGTGTTTTTGAAACATGAAGGTACTCAACCTTTGAATTGCGCGCACCTTAGAATCTATGCCGAATTCACCGAGAATCACCATCTCATAATTTTTCTCTGTATGAGAATAAGCACAATTTTCTAGATAGCTAGCCACACAGTCGATGAAGTACATTTTCACTTGAATGATTTCTCGCAAAATAGTAGCACAAAAGCCTGAAATCGGCCGAACCGAAGTACGACTTCACAACTACAATCTTCTTCGCTAGAAGTTTTCAGATATAGAATTTGTTACAAAGTCCAAATATTTCTGCCGAAATTTTCCAAAATACGCACATGTAATGTAAGTTTTCACGAAAAATTCGAATTTTATTTTTATCTTTCAATAGAAATGACTCGAGGTAAAGCCATATATATAGTATGGTTACTGAAAAATGTTGATTTTACAGTCATACTGTTGGTGCTAAACTGTTGCTTGGTTTCAAGTAGATTCTGTCCGGTATATTCCCCTGAAAGCGTTCAGAAGGGTCGAAATCATCGGATATGATAATCGGATGTGATTCTAATGAGGTTGGGACCGATTAGACGGGTTATTGTTAGTGGGCCGATTACCGTTCTTATGCGGACTTCACCTTTCTAAATATCAAGAAAACCCGGTTCTGCGCTGTCTCAGGAAAAGTCCGGTCCTTAGATCTGGTAGTTCGTGCACATACCTAACTCAACTTGCTTTATGTATCAAACTTCCACGTTTATCAAGTAACACGATATGAAGTGAACATCAGATTTGTGCTTAGCTCCAAAAACAACTGCTGAAAAGCGCTCTTTCATTGAAACTAGTGCTCATCACTTGGGAAAGTCTGGCTTGGTCTTTGAACTGAATTTTGTGGCTTATCTGAGTGAAAGCTGAAAGATCAGAAAAGTATGAAAACATCTCGATAACCTCTTGAAAACGGTTATGGATGATCTGGCAGAAGTTCAAACAGAGACGAGAGAAAGAACGAAAATTGTTAAAAATTTATTCAGAATCGGATATAAGCACTATCATAATTCCAATTCGCAATAGAAAAACATCCCACGAGGACTTTTTAAGCAACTATCGGGCGATATATCGTGGTGTGACACCCATTGCGATAAAAGACTGTATCGCGATGCAATATATTCACCGGTTAATAGCTATGTGTGGTCTTACCTTGCCATGTACTAGGGTTGTCGCGATAACGCTATGTCTCCATATGCCTCCCCGATATTATTAAATATTGTATGTAAGCGCAATAAACTCAATACACAGCGCGATAGGACCACACATAGCGATGAAGCAATGGATATGTTACATCACGATACGGTATTTTATCGCAACGGATGTCACACCACGAGATATCGAACTTTTCTACTGAAAAAGTCCTCATGGATAGTGTAGCCGTTCATATTTTCCGTCTTGTCAACAAACCATAAGAAACCACTATCTATCTGTCTATCTATATATATAAAGAAGAAAGTTTGTTTGTTCTCTATGCATTCAGTCCCTGTAAGAGCTAAAGCAGCCAAAATTTGCATGGCACACCCTTGGGTTCAGGGGAAGGTCAAGAGGGGGTCGGCGAGACCGAAGGAATGGGGGGAGAGTTCCCGCCCAGTTTTCAAAAAGTGGTTGAAAGATTTTCGGATTTTTATGTTCTCCGATTTCTGAGGTACTTGCATCTTGCTTTTATATCTTCGCACTGCCCTTGGTCAAGGGCTACTTTTCA